TCTAGATGTGTATAATAGACAGATACACACACACCGGTATTTATTTTTTTATTTTTTATTTTTTGGCTTCTTGCTTAACTGTAACTTATGGTTCATCTTTGTTAGTAGGCCTATATCTTGTTTATTATTGTGTTTAATAGAATTTAGTGTCTTCGTTGTATCATTTTAAGTACCATTATTTCATTTTTTAAATAGTTATTATAATTTTAACTGTATTATCTGGTCGCACCACTACTTAGTGTGTGCCACTGTTTGAAAGTGTAGTACGGTACATAATAATAAATCTGAGATCTGAACCATCTAGGAAATTATCATCTATCTTTGCTTTTTGCCGTTACAATGCTAGAAATATGTAAAACTTTTTCGAAACTCATGTAATGAAACATACCGGTACAGTTTGTTCAATCAATTATTTCAAAAAATCTCAAAAATCCACTTTATTGCAATCATGACAATATACATAACTGATGATTGAAGTTTAACAATACAATACTTTTTTAGGCTTTCACTTTAGGAAGAAAATTAGAAGGCAGCACTTTAGGAAGAACAAATTCGCGATTGTTTCTAAAATTGTAGTTTTTAAGGGGAACTGGCGGTAAAATGGAATGTAATTTATGGGAAGGTGATTTTAATTTTCTAAAGTAGTTCTTACAAAGTGAGAGGCGACGAACCATAATCAATCAAGCAATAATAATAATAATAATAATAATAATAATAATAATAATAATAATAATAATAATAATAATAATAATAATAACATTGTTCATTCTCAAATCAAATGTACAGGTTTTTAAAATATTTGTACTGACAGATAGGCTAAGTATGGGAGACAATATTGTACAGGGAAGACTTCTCCTTGTTGCCTAGCATCTCCAGAAAAATAAATTAATGAACTGTGATTATTTCCCCCTAGGAATGCTACTGATTTGTAGATGTCAATTCTCAACAGAATTGACATTCAAATTATGGTAATAAGCCTATTTCAAGTTCAGGGTTGTCTTTTAAAACAATATGCCTATATATTGTAGCTAACGGTATACATTGCAGGAGGAATATACATATAATTCATCATGTATTCAGTCCTATTTCATGCATTTGTTTTGTAGCTAAAGTTAATTTAGAAACGCTAAGCCTTCCAATTTGGCGGGAAAGGTCAACTGCTATTCATAAAAAAAAATCTAACAATTACAAACAAACAACACTTGACTACCAGAATTACAAAAAAAGACAAACGACATAAATACAAATAATTAACGATAAAATTAAATGCATCCATAAGTAGAACTCCATATTACCTAAAGACCTATAACTTTATAGAAATTTGTAGCCTACTCACCAGTATCTGATAGCCTCTTCCCTATGGTAACACTGCGCAAATATAAAGTGATCGCATTTGCACCTAACGAACGGAATAATGCTTGGATACAAATCCTTGGCTTCGATGTAACTTAGAATCCGTAGTTGACAAAATTCGAGTTTACCTATAAACAGACATGAACATTAATATTATTGATTTTTCAATCATTCTGACATTGCTATTATTAGACAATCAGCAGTAGATGTATCATTATTGACGCGCACAAACATTATGGCTTATACATGTACCATAGAGATATAATAAGAATAGTAGAATAGGCCAAGCTTTATGACATGCACATATCGATGCAACATCAGCAAAGTAATATAGTAGCGGATTGGTTCATAGCCCCAAGATTGGACTGAGCGTGTTGATTGGTTGGTTCGTAACTGACGCAACAAGTAGCTATGTAATTAGCCTATGAAAACCCACTCGGATGATGAGTGTTATTACCTTCTGCTTCGACTTAATTGAAAGTTATCACGTTACGATTGTACCAGGGAACAGTGAATTGTACAAACACTTAATATTCAGTATTTATTGGTACTCACTTTAAAATCAAAGAAAGACACTAGTAAAGACAATATACGGTAATACAAAAAAATAGTAAAATGATAATAAAATATAATGAAAGCACGTTTATTAAAATTAATTCTTTAATTTAAAATAACGTCTGTTCATAACGACACCTTACAGGAAATGTTAACTGATTATTTTATTAGACATCTTAAATGCAATTTATTCCCCCTGTCTTTGAATTCCATCCGCTCTTTTATTGTGCTTCGGATCAAGTTCGAGCTCACCGTCTTTAATACAGTAGAACCCTCCTTTGGGTCACCCCTATTCAGGGGACACCCCTATTAAGGGGACACCCCTATTAAGGGGACACTTTTCCGTGAAACGAGGGGCAATATATCTTTTAACGCTACAGAAAACCCCTATTAAGGGGACACCTTCTGAGTGTGCCAAATGATCAAATAACCTCTATTAAGGGGACACTTATTTATTTTCATTGTAAAACAACATCTACAGCACTCTAAAAATAAGAAAAATCCATTCAACTTTATATTTTGAGACCTTTTGAGCAATAGGCCTACACCAGAATTTTCTCCCCTTGCTTGTGTTGGCCTACTGCATGTGTTGGTTCGTAAACCAATCTTGTCGATTTTGACCCTTAACAATGGGGATTTCTTTTTCTTTTTTGATGCATTTCATATAGGATTCTAATCTATATCAAAACATATTACTCTATTCATGCTACATCCATCTAATAGAAAGCTCTAATGTGATTGTTGTTATTTGTAAATAAACCAAAATTTGTTTACCTTTTCAGGAAATTTCACATAGGTCTACACATTAGGCCGAATAAAAAAAAAATATTGTGTTGGTCACGCCCGACCGACCCAAAATGTTCAAAATTGACGGTCGGCATTTCAGTTTTTATTTCGACTACAACGAAAAATATTTTTAATGAGCTAAAAAGGCTAGAATGGGCTAGCTTTTTAGAACTTTTCCTACCCACCTACCCATTTTTGGGATTTTCCCAAAACGTGGTCAACACAAGATTTTGTTTGGGCCTTACATACATATTAATCACATTATGCTATTTGAAACCATATGAGATTATTTGATCATTTTATTTAGAAAGCTAAATATTAAAAAAAAAAAATTAGTCATTAACATTGCATAATGAAACAATATTGAGAACATTTTCTGCTGATTTAATATTATAAAAGAATTGTATTTGCATTGCAAATTATTGCTATAAATTAGGTCTTACTCTACTGTAACCGATTCTTATGTCAATAAAAATAAAATTATAAAGAATGTATGTCATCTTTATATTAAAACATGCAAAAAAACCCATACTAAGGGGACAATTTTTTTTGGTTAGTGTCCCCTGAATAGGGGTACAACCCCTATTAAGGGGACACTTTAATTGGAGTATTTCCAAAGCTTGGAAGTTTTTTTTCTCTAACCAAACCGCCATTTTCATTAACCAGCAATTACCGATCGCTGCATAACTCTAGCCTCTAGCAACATTAACAATTACATGACAAATGGCTATGAATGGTATGCACGAATACGATATTAGTTATAGCTTAGGCCCTTATCTTATTTAAAGCCATAATGAAGCCATTATAGAGCTATAATATAACAGTTCCCCGGTGATACACATCTTAGCGATATACGCAAATATCCCTATGCCAACGTGCATAACAACATTTAATAACCTTCGTTATGTTGGAATTCTGTACTGTCTTACAATTTGACCAAATTTTGTGTAGTGTATTTGCATAATTCAGTGTCGATATCAGCATCCAAGCCTATTTGAATAACTTTTATTTATCACATTTACTTTCATATTTAATAAAATAATTAATAACCAACCGTCAGTGAAAAGTTTTCTTGCGTTTCTACAGTAAAAAAATGTAACTTAAGGTTTAAAGAAATAAATTATATTGAAAAGAAACAGAATACTTGTGGCAGTGTAATTCAAAATTTTACCAATATCCAAGAATTTTATTCTTATTTCCTTTAGCATTCACAATTATTCATTTCACACAATTCTAAAGGTCCCTATTGCCTTGGTGATGATGCACTGTAGTTATGACAACTACGCCCGCAACGTGTGTGCTCTATACGTAACCATGAGAACATGATAAAACAAAAATGACATCAAACTAACGATCGAAGTTAAGTACAGCAAGCAGTGTTTAGTAGCCTCGGTGATGTAAACCTTTCGACGAAATGAAAGTACGAACACCACTAGGCTTAAGCCTACATAAATGGTGAACATAATGTAAGTATAATATGTCTGTGATATTTAATTTTCAAATATTGGGATTTGGCGATAAAACATTACAATTATTTGTGTCATAGCGATAAAACATTACAATTTATGGCATAAATATAATGTGTCTGGTTAAATTCTAAATCGTACTGGTAATTTTTTTTCAACTTTTTGGGAAAATATAGCTAGTTCTAAGTGAACATAGTGCAATGTTTTTCTTTAATAAGTGTTAATGGCAACTGACGGTGATGTTCGGACGTATCATCAAAAACAAGATCAACCCTATCAATGATTGCCAAAGCCAAACAGTCTCACCGATACCAGAGATCAGGTAAATATGTACAGTCAACAGTAACAGCAAAAAAAAAAAAAAAAAAAAAAAAAAAAAAAATGTTTACTCCTCATAAAGACGACGCGATTGTATCATGAATCAGAATGCAATGCCACGGCGTACGCGCAACGGGTCGTTTTTAATGCATGCGCAAAATAAACCGACGATTTCGATTCTGGCGAATAAATTCGCTAGTGGAAAACAGGCTTTAGCACGCAACAGACGCACGTATCTTAATAGATTCCATGGACAAACCGGAGAACCTTTTCCATGATGGACACATCCCCTCAATCTCCAAATCGCTCTATTTTTTGGGTCATTGATGCTGGTTTTGGGATGGCAAGCCTCTCTATAGCTTATTAGGGCCACCAAGGACAAAGTCGGTGTTGTAGGAGTGTGAGATGATGAAATAAACGAAGACTGATCTGATTGAACCGTAAAATTTTCGTTTTCTTTAAAATCGTCTCGTATCTACGGGGTTGTTTCGAGAATTGAAGTCTAAAATTGTCACTGTTGCAATATATTTGATGCGAAGTTTCGAAATGTCCAGGCCCTGTGTACACGTTTGAAGTCGGGTTGCAAAATGCCATTACCCACAACGTTGGTACTAATATGAACATCGTCATAAAAATCACTTTGGCGAATTTTCCAATACAAATACTAAGATTTTCTTTATCGTTTCATCTAAAAAGTGACAGCGGCAGATCGGATTTGGGTAAAAGAAGTGGTCTTCTCCCCAACAGCAGCAAAAATCTCTAACCCAGAGCAGATTCTTTTAAGAGAGAATAAAATGGCTAATATCAAAGTGGTCCGACTCTCGTGGTTTCTTTGGAAACGTATCCTATTTCAAAAAGTACGGTACTACCACAAAGGGGCGTTTACTTAAAGCCCCATTCCCGGCAAAATTTCAGTTTTTAAGAAAAATCTAATTTTTGTATAATGTTATAAAGATTTATAAATATAATACGGAATTGCTAGTTTAACTGAATTTAGACATTCCTAAAAATGAAAAAAAAATGTAAAATAAGACTGAAATTTGATTTTTTGTGTTCCACAAAAAATAAATGCGGATGAATTTTTCATGTTGATTTTGCGATAGGTCGTGAGAAGAAATATCGTAGGCGCCGAAAATATTAGCCTATCCAACGCTGCTAGGCTAGGCCTAGCCTTACCTCGATTTAGGTTCTGTTATCACACATAAAAACGGCCGACATGATATTTTCCGTTGCTAGTATTGACACTTGTGAATATAATATTTCACAGGAATTATTTCAAATTTCTTAAAAAACTGATTCTGACTGAGATTTTGACACTTAAACAAACATATCTCAGCCTAACCATGGAGGTATTATTGAGAAGGAGATCACTCGGCAAAGCTACGCGCACGCAGCGCTATGCAAATGAACCAAGATCAAAGTTGCCGCAGCGCGTAAAGAACGTTTGCGCGATGCCTTTGAAGTCCCATGTGTTCCCCGCCATCAAATTTTCAACAGGCATAGTTGACCAAAAAATTGAACATGACGAAATGGAGAGCACCTTCTTTTCTCAATGCGCACTACATACTGTCAATCTCTATGGCTGCGCAATCTTTTTTATTTTGAAGCTGATACATTCATCTCTCATAAAATATCAAATATATTAATATTTTCCACCAAGAAAAGTT